TGACCAATCAAATTTGAGCATTTTTTTTTTAATTCTGAAAAATATATTAAAAATATAATATGTAAAATATGACTTTCAGAATTAAAAAAAATATAGCAGGTTGCTCAAATCTGAGTTAAACAAATTTTTTTATTGAACATTAGTCAAATTCAATAGGTCATAAATCTGAAAAATCCAAATTCTGAAATCTTTGAATCTGAATTTGACCATTGAAACATTCTATTCAAATTCATCTTTGACACTGAAAGAAATTATATAACATAAATTCATTCAACATATACATTCAGATACATGATTTTCAAAGTAAAATATTTCAATGCGATGGATTTGTTGGTGTTTAAATTTCATACATAAGTATTCAGTGGTCATAAAAATCAAAATGCTTTTGTCTCTTGTTTGCTTCTGCAGGCAGTACATTTACACAAAACACTTAGAATTATTACACATTAAGTTTGATCATTTTTGATATCCAAATTTCAAGGATAGATAGATAGATTGAATCCATTGAATTGGGCACACATGACACAAAGAAACCAAATATTTGTTCTTACTAAATCAGAGTGAAGAGTGAACTTCTGTGTTGATTTAAATCAGTTTTCCCTCCTGATAACAGAACAATCAAAGTCTAACTGAAAAGCTTTCAGCTACACAGACCCCTGGGTTGCTCTGTGGCGTTTTATGTGAAGAGCACAGTTTGTTGTGTACAGTGTGTAACAGCAGTATGTTGTTAGAGTCATATCATAAACTGACGTGTTCATTTGTGACGATTTTTCATTAATATTTTACATATCTTTAAATCCCCCTCGAGATTTAACTGAAAAATATCTAATTTGAAATTTACTGAAGATGAATGTAGAGTTTTAAATGTTCTATAGCTGAAGAAAGACAAAGATAATATATTCTCACTCCAGACAGTGATCCATTAAATACACACAGAAATGCATACATCTATATATATGAATTATATATATGAATTTCTTGTCATGATTTGGAGAAACGGGCCCATCTCCACTCATAGTTTATGAAGCGCTGCTTTGTGTGGAGGCTGGTGAATCTGCATGTTATGTGACACTGTAAAGGTGTAAAGATGCCCTGTTCCTGTACATACTGAGGAGCTGTATACTGTATGTTACAACGACGCTGATGACTTTTAAGTATGATTTTGTTAACGTGACCAATAAAATTTCTGTTTTGTTGTTGTTTTTAAATCCAGTGAGTCTGACTGCTCTTTGTGTTTCACTCTTAAACTTCAGCTGCAGTTGTAGCCACGCAGGCTGCAGGTTCAATACCACCATTAGCAGGAGAGAAAGATGTATTCTGATCCTTTTGCTAACATTACAGCTCAACCGAGGAGGACGCCATTATTATTTATATTTCATCCCGAGCACAAGCCTCTTCCTCTTCCTTTTGCATGATGATATGTTTGGTGGGTGTAGTTCGGTAGAAAGGAAATAGTTCCTACATTAAACTGCTCACAACGATGTCTGGATTATCTTGAGTAACCGGGTTGTGATTTCTAGAAAGAGACATTGCTGTTGAGTTTTTCAAATGTATTTTTTGGCGCTGTGAGCACCACAAGCCGAGTGCCATCTAGTTCCATTATATTCAAGAGAAGGCAGACATCTCCACGGCTGATATCTCCAACATTTGGCAGCTCACACCAAAACGTCTCGACTGATAAATAACATGACAGGTCAGAGGAAAAACATGGATTTTTAACTATGAACAGTCCATTTAAGTTTATGCTTCATGTCATTTATTGTCTGTTTCTGTTCACGGAAATTGGAGTAAATTTACTGTAAAACTGACTCCACTCCACGCTAAGGAGAGCGACGTCATCGTACTGACTTCCTGTCATTAACCCCAAACATGTTCCTCCAGTGTCTCCATGTAACAGCTACAGAGCAGACATGCCTCATGTGATGACCGACACGAGATTGGTGAGTGTGTGTGTGTGTTTTTATTTCTACTGTACATTTAGAAAGTATTCACTCTTTAAACATGTTTTTATGTTGCACTCCTACTCTGAAATCATTTAAAGGAATGGTGTGTTAGATTTAGGGGGGTTTAGTGGCATTTAGCTGTGAGGATTGCAGATTGCAACCAGCGGAAACTTCTCCCAGTTAGAATTTCTTCAGTGGTCATTAATCAGGAGGTTTTTACCAGGAGCTGAGTTATCCGCAGAGGTCTCTTCCCCTCCAAAACAAATGGAACAGGTGATTTAAACTGGTAAAAACACTGAATAAAACAGTTTCACATTAAATAAAAATCAGTGTTTTTCCAGTGCTGCTCATTGCAGATGGCCTTTTAACGACAGTGGCCAACACAAAAATATGAAAAAGTAAATGTCCCAAACTTTGTGCCCATTTGTTCAAAGGAAAATCCTGAAATATAACTTTGACAATAACAATTCAGACTCTTTAAATTTAGCTTAGATGCCTTCCATTTCTCTTAATCATCTCTGAGATGTTTCACCACCTTGGTTGGAGAGTCCACCTGTGATCTGTGATCCACCTGATTGGACATGATTCGGAAAGGCACACACACCTGTTTGTGTCAGGTGTCACTGCTGAGAGCAGACACAAAGCCTGGAGGTGAAAGGAGCTGCCTGCAGAGACACAGAGACAGGACTGTGTGTGAGTGAGCGAGTTACAGTTGTTTCTCTGTCTGAAGTTAGTTTTTGGAGCTAATCCATAACAACGGTAAAGTGTGTTTGAGGATAACGGTAATCCAGTTGAGCCTAACACACACACACACACACACACACACAGCTGGAGGATAATACAGGTACCCCCTCCATCCATCTGTTAATCCATCTGTCAGTCTGTCTTTTATCCCCCTTTTGTCTTTTTTAGTTTTAGTCTTTCTCTGCCGCTCTGGCCGAAGTATAACTGGTGAAACAGGAAGTAGACCAAAACGAGCCGACAAACTGTTTCACAAGATAAGATAATCCTTTATTGATCCCCTGAGGGAAAAATCAGGTGTTGCAGCAGCACAGGGACAGAAATAAGTACAGATACACAGAGAGAGATAAAAATTTAAACTATAAAAGTAAAAGTCGACTTAATTAGAATGTAAGCAGTATACAACCAACACCCACGATTGGAGCTGCACTTAAACAACTGTCTCCAACTATTTTCCCATTGTTTTGCAGAATTTAAAAAGGGTTCAACCTTTGTTTGAATAAATAGATGTTTTATTGAGGAAATTTGACAGTAGATGGTCCATAACCACTTAAATGTTTGGCACTGGGTACGGCAAGAACAAAGGGAAAAGGCAAAGTTGTCTAAAAGAGGCAGAAAAAAACGAGAGAAAATGTTTCTTGTCATGAGTTAGTTCATCTTTGTGTGGTATTATTTAAAGCCAGAGTATGGGTGGATTTTAAGTTTCATATGGCCATGTTTATTCTAAATCTTGGGTCTTCAACAGGGGGGGGTCCTCAGAGTTAAAGCAAAGTGGTGCCAAGTTACTGCTTGATAATCTAAATTTTTATTTATTGATTGATTTTTTTTCCCAAAATTAAAGCATGTCTGAAAATACAAATTAATGTAAGGTAAACAGGTATTCTTACAAGCGTTTATTTTGAAATCCCTATCTTGTGGAGGGTCATGGATCTAGCAGGACGAAAAAAATAATTAGCTGTAGTATTATTCCAAGTGGATGGATGTTCTTGTGAGCCAAAATTAAGTGTTTTTTATGTCAATGAAGACACACAGAAAACCACCAGCGAAAAGTGTGGAGAGTGAAGCTAACACACCTAGCCATGCTACAACTGCTGCTGACTTGGCAGCGACTGGCAGACAACCTCAAAATATACAGAGAACTAACACTTCACTAAGCCCCGCACCTTTGTGATGGTCCAACAAGCTGTCGCAGTAAGCATGGAGCCCACACTGTAACTAACTGCACTCACTGAAGAATCATATTTTTGTAAAAATTAAAGAGTGATTCCAGAGAGAAGCAGACAGAGGGGTCTACAGTCTGTGTTTGAAGGATATATCCAGGATGTCAAACTGACTCAGCAGCAACAACAGGTTAAAAAGACAAAGATAGTTAGAAGCTAAAGCCGAACTATAGGCTACAGATCACAGTGTAAAAGTGAACCACCACATCACTGCTGATCGCCACACAAGACAATGAATATAAAGGGAAACTTTGCTGATCTTGAACCAGCTGTGTTGCATCGCAGTGTGTGCACATGAACCGTGTTTGGCTTCACCCCCGTGCTGCTGCCTGGACTGCCTCCGCTGCTGGACGGGCAGGGATCTCTGGGGAAGTCAAACAACATTCGTCTGACACACTGTGATGACACAGAGCTGGTTGAATATGAGCAAAGTTTCCCTGCTTCCCTTCACTGGTTCCTGTACAGCAGGGTCAGTCTTTGTTTCACTGTTATAATCATTAAGGAGCAAAAACAGCATGTGTATACATTCAGTAGGCTATATCTTCAGTAGCTAGCTAGCTAACCCTACACTTTTCAGGGTTTGATTTTGGTTTTGGATCAAGGAAGAAACGTATATCTTTTTCCAACCTCTCCAGGTAACGAGTATCATTAATACATGACGTGCCCCAGGCACAACATTTAGCTCCAAATCCACAAAACCAGCCTGAAAATGAAGGAAATCTGAAACAACTGCATTAGAGTCAATGGAGCACAGCTGTGTTGTTGCCGGATCCTGGTCTGATCCTGATGCTACATTATGATTGGTCAGTCTGCGTCCAGGGGCAGGCTTAGCAAAGGGTCAATTGTCTTACGTGCGACCAAATTTTATACAATATATGTAGTAGGGGGTCCTTGCTCCGTCTCTGTGTGAGTTAAGGTGTCCCTTGTTTGATACCAGTGTAAACAAAGAAAGGACTTTTTAAAAATAATCTGTCCCTCCTTCTCTCTCATTATTATCACTGTCAGTCTGTCAGGTTTGGATTTTAAACAGTTGTCTGCATGTCGCTCTTTGTCTCTTGTTGTCTCCCTCCCTCTGAGTTGTATCATTTTCCCTCTCCAGGATGACTCATGATTGTCGCAGGGTAATGCTTCCCGCAAGACAAAAGCAGAGCCTCCCTTCTCTCTCTACCCACTGAGGAGAATCAGTTGTAACCACCTGCTGAAGGTAAGTCAAATGTGTTTCCTACAGACATGTTGCCTCTGTCAGGACCTCGAGTTAAAACTAACAGGAAACATGTCAGGTGAAACTGTGAGTGAGCTGTGAGCATTATTTACATCCCCATCGCTCCCACTCACATTTCCGTTTCACCTTCTGCCTCTTATTTACCTCCAGAAGAAAAAAAACGGGCTGAGATTGTTTGTGTGGTCGTATGAACTCAAATGCTCTTGTTTTACAACGTCTCGGAGCATAAAAATATGTTAATGAATGAAGTTGAGTTCAGTGCTTGAATCTGAATTAGAAGACGTGTGCCGACTGCCTAAAGAGACAAACAAGACAAACAGAATCAAGAGACAGAATAATATTTGTCTGCAGGTTTAAAAAGAATCGCTGAGAGCAAAATACCACATTGTCTGAATAATAATGAGTCTGAATAATAAAGCAGAAAGCACGTAGGAGGCTCTGAGACGAGGCAGATTTGTTTTCATTAGATGACACACTGATTGCTCTGACATATGTTGTTCTCACTGAAAAGCCACGCTCCCCTGACATTAACATGACATAGTATAAATATATTAACATGCAGGTGTAACAGGAGTGTTTGATGTGTTCACCATCTTGATTCAGCGTGTTAGGATGCCAATATGAAATATCTCAATAACTGCTGGATGGGTTGTTGTGAAATTTTGCAATGTTATTTTCCACAGATGATGAATCCCACTGACTTTAGTGACCTATTGACTTTTACTCGAGTGCAGGGTGTCAAACATACGACCTGAGGGCCAGGAACAGCCTGTCAAAGGGTCTAATCCAGCCCACTAGATGACTTTACATAACTAATATTTATGCAGTTGTCAAGGGGATTTATACTTGTGCGGTGCTGTGTCTGTGTAACTCTGCAGTTACACCTCCAAAACACTAGTTAGTGGCAGAGGTTTCTGTGAAGCGCTGTAAAGTTTAGTTGATTCAAAACACACATTAAACACACATTAAACATGGCTTAATGGTGACAGTTTCAAACACAAGTACACAAATCAGCTTCACTGTAACTTGCAGCATTCACAGACAAACACTTGTCTTTATCTGGACACATTTTCCAAACAAATACAACATGCTAATGTTATTAGCACAAGCCTATGGCATTTTACATTGTATAAATTAGCCTAGCGACGAGCAGAGATTTCCTCTGCTCATATGAAGCCAGGATAAATCACACACAAGACTTAAAATGCTATTTATATGAAGGCTTTATTGTTTTCACAATTTAATGTTTCTTGTCTGTGAAATAAAAGTATATAAAAGCTATATATAACTTTTTAGATTTCTGTCATAGTGAGGTCATTTTATTGATTATCTGTATCATCATATTGTTCAATTAAACGATAGTTCTGTTATTATTCGACTGGTCACTTGAATGCGCTGACATTCATAATTGTGGCTTCTGACAGCTGACAATATGTTGTCATCTGTTTGTGGCTCAGTTGATGTGATGTATCTTTTGCTGCACAGAGGAAGCATGCTGCCGTAGAATTTTGGCATACCACATTTGACATATTATGTATTGGGACTCTCTAAATGTTGTTCTGGCATGCTAAGTAGTATGGTAGTTTGGGTATTGGAACACACATGGGGTTAAAGATGGTAACAGCTCATTGTACATATCTGCAAACTACAAATCCGATACCTCCTTTGTACGTTTCAAATGAATCATTCCAACGTTTCTTGGTATATGAGCGACTTTGTCATCGAGAGATGGAGGGGATGGTGCCAAGCTGCAGGCAACTGTTTGAAACCAATGAGCCATTGCTGCATCTTTCAGTGACTTTTTAGCTACTAAACATGGGTGTTCCATCGCTTTGTCTTTAGCCGGGATAACGCCACGAAAAGCAGTTGTTTTTTTACATTTTTACATTGCTGCATTTGCAGCAGCGTCACGGTGGTGCAGTGGTTAGCACTGTCGCCTCACAGCAAGAGGGTTCTTAGTTCGAACCCTGGGGTAGGGAGTTTGCATGTTCTCCCCGTGTCAGTGTGGGTTTCCTCCAGGTGCTCCAGCTTCCTCCCACAGTCCAAAGACATGCAGGTTAATTGGTGACTCTAAATTGTCCGTAGGTGTGAATGTGAGTGTGAATGGTTGTCTGTCTCTATGTGTCAGCCCTGTGATAGTCTGCTGACCTGTCCAGGGTGTACCCTGCCTCTCACCCAGTGTCAGCTGGGATAGGCTCCCATCCCCTGCGATCCCTAACAGGAGTAAGCGGTTACGGAAAATTAATTAATTAATTAATTTCCAGCAGCTTTTTTGTATTTTAGGCCAAAATATGATTTTTTTTCTACCCCAATGGTTTTTATGCCTTAACATAACCGACTTCCTGTCTCATATCCTCACATACTGCAGTTGGTTGATGAGGTAATCCAGCATCCATGTTGTCAGGTTGTGGTCCACCCCTGTGTGCTCCAACTTGTCACTCAGAGGCGTGGGCTGTGTGGTAGTGAAGGGGGCAGAGATGTGTAAGGACCAGCCTCTCGAGGGTCTTCATCAGGTGCGATGTCAGTGGCACCGGCCTTGGGGTGCTGTCATTATGCGCATGTTAGCATTTTAGCACAAAGCAGACTCTCAGAGTTGATTTATATTTCTGTATCACTGTCTGTTTGTCTCATGATGATCACTTGAGTCTGAGAGTGGAACTACCTTATAACTCTGCTGCCTCCCTATTTTCAGAAAGAAAATTCTGCTTCACACTGTGTTGACATTTTTTTTCCTGCTCTAACAATCATGAGAATGAAAGCACCGCTGTGACCAGAGCACATATATATTTTTCAGCTCTCCCTGGGACAATTAAAGAGAACTGGAGATGGCTGTTTGTCATCTGCCTGCAGGGGAAATAAGAACTTGTTGAACACAAGGTAATGAGCACAGACATACTGTATAAACAAATTATGAATCAGACTGAAACAACTGTCCTGACAAACAGATTTAACTATGTTGATCTCTGGCTGTTGATGTTTCACCTGCAAAACTCTTTTTATTGTCTTTGCTGCAGCATCATGAAATAAGATGTTAAAGTCATTTCAGGACTGGCTCATAACACAGACAACAGTAAACAACAGTAAATGTCAACAACAGAAAGCAGAATGTAAAGTCTCAGATTTTTATTTTGGTGTGACACAATTTATCAACCATGTTGTTAAATCAACAACAATCCAAACAAAAACAACTCTAAAGAATTATGTTTTATTTTTTCTAATTCATCCACAAGAGAAATTCAGTGACTTTTCCTTTATTCTGAATAAATTATAAGTTGCAGTTTAATGGGACTACAAGAATCTAAACTGACTTCGATCTTTTAGGAAGCAGAGGAAAAAACCCACTAATGCGTTGATTTTAACACATGGAGGCGGGTATGTCGACATAAGTTATATACATGTGTTGTACATTAGTTACATGAAACCAACGATTAGAAAACAAACCCTCTTTTTCAAAAACAGGAGAAAATGTAAAGGCAAACATTATTACTTTGGGACCACTAAATCAGATCAAATCCTCGACGAGATAAAGAAGATGAGAACTCCTCCTGGCTTCCTATTGGCTGGAGGGCAGGATGTTGTTGTGAGTAGTAAAACAGGAAGTAGGAAAGCAGGTATTACATGAACATGTCGTCGTAGCCAGGCGGGGGCATATGGTCCGGATCCGGCCTGAAAAACACAGACACACAAAAACTGTCATTGTTGTATTTAGGGATGCATGCAATTAGACGTCTTAACGATTAAACGTCCGCCCCCTCACTAGTCGGCACCAGAAATATTAGTTGGTTAAAGCAATTAGTGTTTTATTCATGTACAAGGCTGCTTAACTGTCATGCAGCCACCCACCACTAGTGGGTGCTACAGAGGCACACTTCAGAGGCAGTTATTTATTTTAGATGTTATTTCAGTGGTTAACTTTTGACTGAGCTGTCTTCATGTTCATATTCATAACGCACAGCGCAAAGTGTCTCATACTTCAGCGGCATTTAAAATCTGACATGGTTGTTGAAGATTGTGATTAAAGGATTCAAAGGGCTCTTAATGCACACAATATTTTGGGGGACAATGTTTCAAATACTTAACAATAAATTGTGCTAAATGTTGACTGTTTTCTGCGTGTTTTCCCTTTTTTAGACAAGTCGACTAGTCTTAATTAAAATTTTCATTCAAGCGACAGGGAAATGAGTCACCAGGAACATCCCTAGTTGTATTACCTGATCAGTTTTTGACCTGTCTGCCGCGTTGGCGTTGGTGCGACAGCACCACCGCCCACCACCCACCGCCCAGACCAACTGTCTCTTTTCACAGCTAAACGGTACACTAAACTATGTTTCTGCAATCATTTGAGGCAAGAAATAGGCAATGCAGCAAAAGAATCTTGATTCATATTTGATCACTGCTGCCTAGTTTGACAGGTTCACTGCAGTTCACGAGTAGTGATTGACATTAGGGATGCGCCAATATGGATTTTTTTCAACCGATAATTTCCTGCTTCTCATGGCCAATAACCTATAATTTCACATTTGTTTTTTTACAAATCAAATCAAATCAAATCAAACTTTATTTGTATAGCACTTTTCATGCATTAAAAATGCAGCACAAGGTGCTTCACAGAATAAAAACATACAACAAAAATATTACACAATTAAGTGTATAACCTGTAGTTTATGTACACCTGAGGGTAAGAAAGGAAAAATATGGCTGATTTAATATTCTGTAGCTCTGACCTAACCAAATTAAACTGACATCACTATTGCTAACACAACAAAGAACAGTTCTGACTCTTCATACCTGCCGACATTAGGCTGTGAAAATGAGGAAAATTTTCTGGGGTATTGTCAAATGGCCTTCCCTCTACGCCCCTACCCTCATGCTGCCCTTGTTAAATCAATGAAAGCAGTCTGGCTTCGTATTATCGAATATTATTTACTGGCTATGATTTTAATTTTCTGAATAATGCATAATTGTAAAAATGTCCCACTTTCGGCCGATATATATTGTGCATCCCTAACTGACATGATTGACCACTGCGTTAGAGACTCCTCGGCTCTGATTGGTTGTTTTCGTTTGGCCTTAGTAGATTCCTAAACTTATTTTCATAAACGTTGTAAACTGTAGTTTTAATAGACATTTTTATGCTTAAATGATTTATGTTTTGGTCTAGAAAAGTGTACTTGAGTGTCCTCCTTTAGGGAGGACAAAGAGAGAGACGTGTGTGTGTGTGTGTGTGTGTGTGTGTGTGTGTTTGTCTTACCCTGGTCTGTGTCGTCCGACGGGTCCAAACGGGTCGAAGCGAGCCCCCGGGGGAACAGCTCCAGGAGGCAGGATGTCTGGTATCCCACTTGATGGATCAAAGCCAGAGCGAGGATACCCCGACCTCAACGGGTCGACTATCATGCCACCACCGCCGCGAGTCCTGAGAGGGGGGGGAGGGGCAGGAAAGAGAGAAGGAGAGGGAGGAGGGTAGCTCACTTAATCTGAGTTTAATGAATGTTTGGCATGACACTGATGCTCCTCTGAAGTTCAATCCCATGATTATAGTGGATGATGCATGGGTGAGGAACAACCTGATGTTAACTGTCAGATAAATTACATATACTGCCATTCAAACGTTTTGAATCAGCTGTTATATTTCTTTCAGTAATGGCTCCTCTAACAGAGATAAAAACTGTATGATTAAACACCAAATGTATTTTTTACATTTGAAAAAGTTTTGACCCCAAAAGACAAAGAATGAAATCATTCAAAATTCCATTTAGTTGACGTCCCTGCGGTTTTGCATGACGGGGGAGAAGTGTAACTGACCCTTGATCATTAGTGAACCAAAGGTGCAACTGGGCTCTCAATATTTAGTCTGCCTTTGTTCGGTCCCTCTGTGGTCGACTCAGTGGTTAGATTGAACTGGATTAAACTGTGATTTGTCCGTCCACGGTGCATCCTGAAGATATTTGTGTTTAGAGCTTCACATTCAGCTGGCAGAGGGAGTCTGGACAAGCGCCAGTAATCCTCTGCTGTCTGTCTGTTACTGCGTGGACGGACTGTTCATCCTCCAAAATCCCAGATTAGAACAAAAACCACACTGGTGCTTAAATATATATCTGCAAAACCATTTCCATAAGAATTATTTGTGAGGGTTTTTTATGAGGGAGAGAGACGGACTCACCCGAAGGGATCCAGATCTGCTCCTCCAGCTGCAAACGGAGGAATCATGGGGTCGTGCCTGAAAGAAAAGTTATTTAATCGATTATTTATGAGGCTAATACTATTTTAAGTTTCTCAAATGTGAATATTTGTTGCATTTCTCTGTTTTTTATGACTGCAAACTGAGTATCTTTGGGTCGTTGGTCTGATACACCATACATTTAAATACTCCGAAGAAAAATTTAAATCGACATTTTTCACTTTTTTTAAATGACATGTTTCAGACTAATAAGGGAACGCTGTGGAAATGTTACTGTGCTACAAAAATGCGCTGCAATAGACAAGACGTGAGGACAAAAACCGAAAAATGATGCTTTAGCTGCTGGAAAGAAATGAAAGGATGTAAGTATGTCAGTGTTTTCTTAATTGAAAATACCAGAACTGAATAACCAACATAGGCTGTTAAGATAAGATGTAAATCCAACAACATCTGATTTCAGCTCATGTTGGAGGAGAGGGAAATGAGGCAGCTGAAAAGAGCTTTAAAACAGAGACTGTGAAATAACGTTTGGTAGAACTGACACAAAATCTATTCTAAAATCTTGGCAGAAAATATAGGAAATACAAAGCTGTTAAGAGTATGAAATTACAGAGGTGGGTGTCGAAAAGAAGATATAATCTTTATAAGAATAAGGTTAGGACGTACGGGACTTAATGCAGTGTTGAAGAGAAAGACTTCAGGCGAGGATAACAGAAACAAGTAGGGGGTGGAGTATTAAAGGGTTGTTTAAGATGAACCAAGCAGCAACCAGCAGGGCCAAGAAGATGAAGCGTGAAGTGTCAAAAACTGCAGTTCTTGGCCACTTATAGGCTTCAAAAGCAAGTCAATACCTATAACACCCATATTAAAATGCCCAGCTTTACAGTAGAAATACACGTTTACAGCCTGGTACAAAAAATTATTTTCCTCCTCCCACTCGATGTTCTTCTACTGGCATTTGCTAGAATCTACCGCGGCTCACAGAAACCAATCAATCAGAGTCGAGGAGTCTCTAAAGCAGCTGTAAGTCATGTCAATCACTGCTCGTGAGCTGCCGTCAAACTGTCAAAACTATTATCAACATTATGTAACTGCATCGCCTATTTCTGGCCTACAATGTTCTCAGAAACATATTTTAGTGTTGCCTGGGTCCAGACCTTTAAATCTTTAAATGCCTGGGTCCAGACCTTTAAATCGAAAAGTTCGAGCTGAGTTAAAATAAAAAAACAACCAACCAATGAGCACTGCGGGAGGATACAATGCTGTTGTCAAGCGGTGCACCAGAACCAATGAGAAGTAACAACAATAGGCTTCACTGACTCTTGTTCAAACGTCTCTAAAGGCTCTGACGGATGCAAAAAATGCAGAAAGTCAAATCTGTTACGAAAATATTAATGACCGACGAAAGTTTCGGACTCAGTGTGCAAAAACTGACAAAACGTGAGGTCGTATTTATTTTTAGACGTGGGACAATTTGGACAAATAAAAGGCCTTCAGGCTGTAAAATGAGAATTTGCTCTGGTCGATGGGTGGTGCTTGGTTTTGGCTCAACTGTATCCAACATGGCGGCCAGGTCACACACTAAAATATGGTTCTGAAAACATTTGAGGCGAGAAATAGGCGATGCAGAATCTTGATTGATATTTGATCAGCGCTGCCTAGTTTGATGAGCAGCGATTGACATGATGCGTTCGAGACTCCTCAGCTCTGACTGACTGTCCTCCTTTCGCTGTGGTAGATTCTCGCAAATGCTGTTAGAGGCACTACACATTATCTGTCTCATGTATTTCTGTGTGGATGATGACAGTTTCAGCAAATGTGACGCAAAGTTATTTTCATAAAAGTTACCAACTACAGCTTTAATCCAGAAGAGATGAATCATTCATAAAGATGGTTGTTAGCGGCGGCCCTTTGATTAAATTTCACTTGTCATCTCTCTTACACTCTTTGCTGATGCAGCGACCCAGAATCCACACAGATGGATAAAATTAAATTTATTACAACCCTAATCCTATAACTCAACATTATACATTACACATCCCATTCATAATCCCAGTTATCCCATTAGTAGTTATAATTATTCAGCGTGAATCACACAGTGGAAACACACTGTAGGCAGAGATCTTCTGCTCGCCATCTTTTCTGTTCTGTCCATTTTCCTCCCTCCCCACTCGTCTGTCCTCCTCGTCCCTGTTTTCTAACACTTTCTGCACTCTGCAGCCCTGACTCAGTTTTTGCTTTCTCATTCATCATTCCTCGTCTCTGCATCTCTTTCGCTCCTCTCTCCATCATTCTGCATCTTATCCCTTTTTTATTATTTTCTCTCCCTTTTATACGTCTTTTCTCTTTCAGATTTTGGTTTTCTCCATCTGTCACTGTTTTGATCTCCCTCCCTCCTTATCTCCCTCCCTCTCCGGAGACGAGGAGGCGACAGAAGCGAGGTCGATAAAGTGCTGACATCACCTCGCATCTCATCTGATCGGGTAACAGCAAAGAGGACGGGGAGGAGGAGGGGGGAGAGGAGGGAGATGAGACGAAGAGCGAAAAGCAGAGTGATTCAATCTGAGCACACACACACACACACACACACACACACACACACTCAAGCTGCCCGAGTTCTGCCCTCATTTATTCTCTGCAGTTGTAGTCGACCAACAGCTCCTGTCTAGACTTTGTACAAGGCATGAACTCTGTGTGTGTGTGTGTGTGTGTGTGTGTGTGTGTGTGTGTGTGTGTATTACCTATTTTAAAGTCAAGTCCCTCATGTATTTGTCGTGTTCTTGTTTGGCACACTTTAATCACACGTGAATCCACCCAAACACATTTTCATTTCAGTTTTATCCAAACAATCCTAAGTAGTTCAATCAGGATTCAGGCCGCAACTAATAATTATTTTCACGATCAATTCATCTGATTATTAATCTGATTAATCTTTTAACCAGTTGGTCTATAGAACAGTCACAACTTCCTAAAGCCCAAGGTGACATCATCAAATTGTTTTGTGACTAACAGTCCAAAGTGGAAGATATTCAGTTTAGAGCTGAGACAATTGGTTAATTAATTCAGTAGATCTCAACCTTTATCGTACAGTTGAGGAAATAACTGTGGAGGAAGTGAAACCTGTGATCAAAATAGTCCTTCTTATGACTCTTACTCCTCTGAGCTCACTTCTATACTCAATTAAACAGTACCCATTTTACATACAACTAAAGTCCACAAGGAGTCAAGTCAAGAGGGTGGACATTTGATTTCAACTCAACTTTCCAATTAAGGTGCATAAAGCTTTACGTATATTAGTTTCGACCGCATTATGTGAACTGCATATATTCTAATCCTCAATTGAGAGCTTGCCTGAGAAGGACTAAATGCACAAACCTGCTATTTTTAAATATCCCATGGAGAGAGACTCTCACTGCAGCCTGTTTTTATTTTGTTCTGAAAATGTCGGCGTGCAGCCTCGTTCTGTGGACGATAAACCAGGTGCAGACTGATAAAGGAGGAAATGCAGTGAGTGCTGGACGGAGCAGTGAGTGACAACAACCCTGTCCACGTTTAAGAGTACTGTTTGCAATGGAAACGCTAAGCGGACCACTGAAAGTGTTAGTGGAAATGGGGCTTTTGTGTATATCTTCTTTCTCTGATGTAGATAATGTATTTTTAGGGTCTGGGCAGCTAAGCTGCCAGGACACTATTGCCAGGACACTATTGTAATCCTAGATATTCTTCTTCTTCTTCCGAGGAAATCATACTTCCCATGGGTGAAAACTCACCAAACTTTGCACAAAGGTCCAGTCTCATGCCAGATATCCTCAGCTGTTAACTCAAGCCAATAGTCCTGATGGTGGCGCTACAGCAAGCTTCTTAAGTTCAAAAATTCATAACAAATCTACCATACGTGCTACAACTTCACAACTTTCATCAAACTGTAGCCCCAATACTGAAGAAACTTTTGTACATTTAAACTTATTAAAAATTATGAAGTCCATCACTCTGTTTTTTTCAAAAACTGCAAAACTTCTTAAACCTATCTCCTCCCACAATTTTTGCTCAATTGACACCAAACTTGCTACAGAGCATCTTCAGACTGTCCTACAAAAACTATGTTTCTCAGATTTTTGATTTATCAAAAATTGAGCCTACAGTGCATCAAAACGTTTGACTGTAAACGGTACTGTAAACATATACATGCAAATTCTTGCTAAATAAATCTTCAATGTTCATGAAAAAATGACAAAATTCTAGAGTCATGGTAGATGATGTGTGGCAAATTTCAGAATTTTATCTCAAAAACTGAATTTTTGACAGAATTTTTTGAATTTTGCTCTAATGTGAACAATTGGAGTCAATGTAAAAATGGCAATTTTAAACATCAGTTTTTCACTTATGGAGCAAATCAATCATTGTTTACAAACAAATTACCAACATGTCCATGCTGTCTAGATGTAGTATGTGTATTTTCAGATTTTTTTTTTTGATAACTGAATTTTTTTTACAGTGGTTTGAAATCTGCTTTTCCATGCACGGACGGCTGCTAAACCTGCACGTCTGGCTTAGTCAGTTTGTGAAGCTACACATGAATTGTCACTGACTAATTAGCTCAGTGAGAGAGAAATTGATTCTTAGTCTCAGAGGTTGTGAGTTCAAGCCTCAGCTGATGCAAAAGGCAGACTGTGTTGCTAAATTCCTAAATGTCTTCCAATTCTTCTACTTGTTGCTCAGAATTGCCTAAAAATGCCCGGACCCAACCCATTGCTGCGCAGCAGCTATAATTTATATTATATTTCCATACTGAAGGGGGTTACAAAGCATTTCACTGCACACTGTAGAGGCAGTCTGAGTGTGTGACAAATAAAAATCTTGGGCTCTGCTTAACTGATTCAGAAAATAATCAGCAGATCAATCAATGACAAACATTAATCATTAGCTGCAGACAAAGAAAGCAGCAGCGAAACCTCACAGCTGAGAAACTGAAACAAGGGAATAATTACTTGACATTTTGGCTTGGAAAAATGACTTTGAGTTAGAATCCATAAAATTTCTCGTCCTGGTTGATTTGGCAACACTTGTGGTTACCTTGGCAACAGCAAGTGTGGTTGATTTCTATGGCAAACTCGCCCCGAGCAGAAAAACAGACTGTCGATTGGTTTATCGACGAACAGGATGAAAACAAACTCTCTCTGAGCCACTTAGACAGTCGAGCCTACAGCTTTCAGACGGTTGATAGATTTATTTATTATTTATAGGCTGGATTTATTATGATTTAATGATCATAACAACGCAGTTATGCACACAGAAGGTGGAAAACAGTTGGAAAATGTCATGAGTCTGCATGAATGAGGAGATGTCACCCTGGAAAAGCACAACATTATTTTTGATACTTAAATTAAAACTAAGACACTGTTTCTATATAAAATGATGACGATGAGGCTTTGGATTTGTGCCAGTAGATTTAAGAGCATTAAAAACATTAACAACCCCACCTTTAAGGCTCTATGATATGACCTTGCCCTATTTCTTTCTATTTATGGAAGACAAAAGGTTCTTATAACGTCTCTACACTGTAGTTTCCTGGAAGTAAACAGGTGAACCAGTTATAGGAAAGTACAGACTGCAAATCCAGCAGTGGAAAAAAATGAATTAATTTGGCTGTTTGGGTGTACTGAGCCTGAAATAGCGTAAATCCAAACATGGTTTAGTTCCCTATTATTAGCTGTCTATTACTAATGCCTCTGATTAAAATGCAAATGAGAAGCAAATACACTATTTTAAACTAATGAAATTAAATCCCAGTATATTCTGAATGAAATACAGCCGTGTGACTGATGGGATTCATTTGCTTTTAGCAGATATTTACACATAAGAACACTTCTGTGTCAAGGTAAATTTACACAGGCAGCTTCCTGTCATCACTCACCAGTGTGGTGGCTGTCTGCTGGGGATGCGGAGGGGGTCGCTGTCCTCTCTTCTTCGTCTCTGCTCAGCCTCCTCTTCCACCTCCCTCCGACTCTTCCTCTCTGCCCTCTGTCCTGTCGGTCTGTCCTGGGATGGCAGCAGCTGAGTCTTCACCTTCTCTGACAGACTGTCTGCATCCTTGAACACACTGGAAGAAAAAGTTGCTCTTAACTTCATTTATCTAAATAAAGTTTGGTCTGTGCAGTTCGATCTACGGTACAAGTGTCCTGTGCTTTCTGGTTGGTAATGATTGAACATCCTGTTATGGAAAACATTAAACTAAAAGCATGCTGTCAGGAAAAAATATATAACCAACAGGCATCGGCTGGTTTAATTAAAGATTAAAATACACAATCACATACTTACACAGACATACACACACACACACACACACACACAAAATACGAATTAGGTTTGATGCCAATTGATTAAATAAAAGCTACATAAATGCAGTCTAAAAAGATAGGTTTTAAGATTTTGTTTGAAGCTGTCTCCTGAATCAGACAGTCTGATGTCAACTGGTCACAGAACGCAGCATCACCACACTTTTTAGTTCCACACTTTTTAGTTCCACTCTCGGGGACATTTAATGGACCAGAATTAGAGGACCTTAGGGATCCATTAAAACGCTAGCTAGCTATATACGTATAGCTACATCAAGTGGAGTTAGCCTATGTTAGATCACCAATGTCAGCCAGGTTAGGAAGGCTCAATTCTCATGTGAGTTATGAAGTTATGGCCAAAAAAAAATTACACCAACCTGTCAAATGTGTGTAACTGGTCAGCATCCACATGATCACTGATGTTCACTGTCAAGTCTGACACCTGCTGTGTGCCTGGGGTCTTCACACACAAACACATACAGAGAGCATGCGTTAAGATGACACAAGGAAAAGATCAATACCTGTTTCACATTTGTTCCTCAGGACAAAACAGAAATCTAATCCAAACACATCAGGCTAATAGTAAACTGAACAGATTATATTGGTGAACAGATTATGGATGCAGCATCTACTGTTTTGTCTCATCATTCATCTCATTTAAGCTGGTCGTCTGTCTGCAGAGTCGACTCAATACTCAGCTGTTCCTACCATCAGGTTGAAGATCAAGGTGGAGTCGACAGCGATGGCTTTGAGCAGCAGCTGGGTGTCGCTGTCTTTGGCTTTATATCGCAGACTGTACAATTCCTTGTTGCTGCTCCAGTCAGCAGGCAGCAGCTCGGACTTCTTATCACTGCTGCGAGGCTGGAGGTGGGAGAGACACAGGAAAATGGCACACACAACAGGGGCAGACAGAGGGAAAATGGAGGGTGTTAGAAGACGGTGAGAGCACATAATAATGATGTCAGGACAAACTCTTCAGAATGTGTTCAGTAGTCAGTGGTGGAATGTAACCAAGAACATGTACTTGTGCTTTTCTTGAGTATTCTCAAGGCAAATATTGTACTTTTTACTCCACTGCATTTGTCTGACTCCAGTTGTCATCCCCCTCTTGTCCAGTGAAAACCATGTATTTCCAGATGTGCTGGTTCTGAATGTTTGTGATAAACTGAAGGATGAGTTGAAAAAATTATCCTCCTCCTTAAACTCTCTAGAAACCCTCTTAAATGAGCAGGAAAATGCATCGTCACAAAGCTGAAAACTGTTTTTATGACAAGTTGACTTTTTAGAGATGTGTGGTTCTCACAGGACAGGCACACTACGTAAGTATAATGATCTTATACACTGCTCAGGAAAAATAAGGGAACACTTAAGTCACACATCAGATCTTGATGACAATAATTCAAGTTGAAAATCTTTACTGATGTACACTGTATAATTATTTGAGAACAAAATGATGTAACAACGGTCAATGGAAACCGAAATCATCAACCCCTTAAGGGCCACATGAGGCCGAGCATTGTCCTGCACCAGGAGAAGCCCAGGGCCCGCTGCAACAGCTTCTGGTCTGACAATCGCTCTGAGGATTTCATCCCAGTACCGAACAGCAGTCAGGGTACTGGTGGCTATGACATGGAGGTTCTGTGCAAACCTCCAAGGATCTGCCTCCCCAGACCACCACTGACCCACCACCAAGCCAGTCATGCTGGATGATGTTACAGGCAGCAGAACATTCACTACTCCAGACTCTTTAAAGCCTGTGACATGTGTTCAGTGTGAACCTGCTCTCATCTGTGAAGAGAATGGCAGCCCTGCCAATTCTGGTGTTCTCTGGCAAATGCCACTCGAGCTACTCACTGCTGGGCTGTGAGCACAGGTCCCACAAAAGGACGTGGGGCCCTCATGCCACCCTCATGGAGTCTGTTTCTGACAGTGTGGTCAGAAACATTCACACCAGTAGCCTGCTGGAGGTCATTTTGTAGGGCTTTTGCAGTGCTCCTCCTGTTCCTCCTCACACAAAGGAGCAGATACCGGTCCTGCTGCTGGGTTGATGCCCTTCTACGGCCCTGTCCAGCTCTCCTCATGTAATGGCAGGTCTCCTGGTATCTCCTCCATGCTCTTGAGACTGTGCTGGGAGACACAGCAAACCTTCACGTATGGATGTGCCATCCTGGAGGAGCTGGACAACCTGTGCAACCTGATTGTGCTGCAGGTACCGCCTCATGATACCAGTAGTGACAAGGACACTAGCAGAAGACCAAACTAGAGAAGAATCAGTCAGGAAGGATAAGGAGAGCGCAACTGTCTGTGGACGCCACATGTAAAACCATTCCCTTTTTGGAGGTTGTCTTGCTTTTGCCTCTCCATTGCACCTGTTGTCACTTTGATTTGCACCAAAGTAGCTGAAACTGATTCAAAATCTTCCATCTTCCAAAGTTTAACTGACTTGGTGTTACGCTGTGACTGTTAAGTGTTCCCTTATTTTTTGAGCAGTGCAGAATATGATGTATTGCTGTAGCTTTAACGACCCACCAGTAAATACTGAAGTTAAATGAGCACAAATTTAAACATTTACAGCAATAAAATGCAACAGACACAGTAATACAGCTGTAATAATAATAATCCAAACTCCAACTACATTTTATTGATGATACAAAAACCTTTTCTTTAGGAAGGTTTTGAATGCAGGACTTTTACTTGCAGTGGAATATTTCCACAGTGTGGTATTTGTACTTTTACTGAAGTGATGGATCTGAACACTGTCTGTACTGTGGTGTTACAGAGTGTCTGGCCCCAAGTGGCACAACACTCGGTTAGCTAGCATAAGATGACATGACAGATTTTAGAGCTCGTCATAATGACTCTGTTATAAAACAACTGCTGGTGACTGCTGCATTAAACACGACAGCTCATTAAAACAAAGCTATAATATGTTTATCAGTGATAACAGTTTGCTAGATAACATGAATAGTGTTCATTTAGGAAGCTAAAGCTAATCTAAACTGAGCAGCCGAGGCAGGTTGGTGCGGACAGAATTCCGTTGAAAAACTGACAGATTAATTTCTTTCTGTTAAGCACAGATCAATAACCTCAGTGAAAACGGACCAAAATACAATTATGAACAGCTTAAGCGCCATTCTTCAATTCGGCACATAAGTTATCCACAAAGCAGCGCGTATTTTTCTTAAAATCTAGTTCAGATCCTGTCTATCCCCTAACTCCTCATACGAACCAGTGGTAACCGTTTGTTAAATCTGTCATTTATTCATGGATATTCAATATTAAAATGGTCTCCCAAAGAAACAGCTACTGCGATGTTGACCAACGATTATGGCGTTAAATTTTAAACGGATTTTGGTGTATCGCGGCCTCTGGTTAACACATGAGATTATTTAAGCAAATATCAACGTTAGCTAGTTTAACTTACCTCGTCTCCGGACCCGATGCACCTGTATCCGCTCTTTATCATTTCCCAGTGAACGAAACACACAACGGCGTCCTGTGGACAGCTAATGCTGCCACCGACACAGGTATATAACACCTCCAGGCCCGCCATGTTTCTTTAATCTAACCACTATAACAACATCAATTCAGTTTCAGGTGAAGAAACGAAAACGAAAGACACAATTTCACAGCAACTGCAACCACTTCCTGTTTGGCCTTTTCAAAGTAAAAGCACCGGTGAAACGTGATTGACAACTAACTTTGATGCAAATAAACATTTTAAAGCTAAAAACAGTGGCTCTTAAAACACAGAATACAAACACCACGAACTAAAAAATTAAATGATAATAACCATAATAATAAAAAACAACAAAGTAACCGACTAATAATAATAATTACACAAATTTTACAAATATAATAAAGATAGATTTTTGATATATAAATCAGTTTGTTTGTTTTTTAAAAAAGTTTCAGGTCGGCCCTACCTCTATACGGTTGTTTATTCAACTTCATATAGAGGTAATAATTAAACTGACATTTTTGCCTGAGCTTTCAACCACATTTCAAGTGAACTTCAAGCCTGAAATTGGGGTTTTCTTGTAGGTAGATATTCTCATGTTACAGCAGCAGTGCACGAATAAAACCACACTGAACATGAATTTTGTATTGTATTGCATTAGTGAAACACGTATCAAAAACACAATTGCTAATTTTGCTATTAAAAGTAAAAAATAAAGTATACTCTTTAAACACAAGCATCATTCATATAATGTGCACACCTTGCAAGGTGTGCAGAACTGATAAAACTGAGTCATAAGTTCAAAAAAATGTTTAATATTACATTACAATTAATTATTATAAATTACATTATCTCTAGATGTGATCTAGACTATCTACTATCAGAAGACTTTTTTGGTAATTATTCTTCCTTACAAATGATTATTAGGCCTACTTTTGGAGACCTTTCTTTCAAAAGTACACTGCATGCCTCATAGTCTTTATATTACTTTGAGTATGTCAATTATTGAAAATAGATTAAATAAAAATTTTGAGCGAATTTTGTTTTAATAAAATGAAAAAAATGTTCTTAGCGGAAACCCAGTAGTGTAATGTGTCTAACTTTACAGAGCTTTGTCAGTTGTGTTTTGATCCAACGCATAAAGAGTCCCGGGGTGAAAACATACTAAGGGCTTATGGTTCCGTATTCCCTTCACTGGCTGACTGAAAAAAAGAGACATTCACTGTGTACTACTGACCTTAGGAAAAAGTTTGAAAACTAACCCTACAACGGTTTTTTTGTAGCAATTTATAATATTAAATACATTTATTATTTTATTATTATCATTATAAACATGATGCAAATCAAGCCTAATATGTATTATTTATTGGTTTATTTAATATACGTCTAATATATTTTCCGTTTCGATTCCGTCCCGTCCAGTTTCCTCTGCAACAACAAGACTTCATTTCCCATGGTGCACCTCGCAGGGCGGAGAGAGCTTCCTTGTGAAGATGGCGGCTCCCCTGACTCTACTTTTGATTGTAGCCGTTACGGTCCGCGCAGCTCTGTACAGATCCAGTTTAGCGGACCTGATCTCAGAGAGGGTGGAGGTGGTGTCTCCGTTAACCGCCTGGAAGAGAGGTAAGCGGGGTGTAGCGGCTTTTTGGGGCCGAATTTTCCCGCTGATACGCGGCTTCGGTTCCCTCCTCTCCTCGGCGCTGTTACCCGGTGATAGGTCGGCAACCGGTTTAGCTAAAAGAAGAAAATAACAATAAAGATAATAAAAACTGTCTTTGCCGTTCTCTTTCAGAAAGATTACTAACGCCACATTGAGTCTGATAAAACAGCTTCGTTGTGGTTTATGTCGCTCTAGATGTGAATTAGTTTTGACTCGTTAATTTTCTAATGGAGGTTCTTCATTATGTTCAAAGATGATGGTGCAGCAACCATCAATAAGAGTCATTAACCACTGACACGAGGGGTGGAAATTAACTAAATTATCATTTCAGAGTGTTTATACTTCACTCGAGTACTAATACTGCCCTCCTGATACTACAGCTCTAAACACTACTGTACATTTGACTGTGCTTCACTGTCAATGATAATATAACCAGTTTCCAATAAGGGACTGTTCGTTATTTATGTGAGGGGACGGGGTGGTGCAAAAAGGGGAGGCATGTAAAATTAATTTTTAAGCACATGGGAGGGACTTGTGTTTATGTTGGCTCAGGGGAGTGGCACACAACTTAAACTAACTGTATTTTGTATTATTTTACCACCTATTTATAAAGAAAACATGCCTTCTAAACCTGAAAGCGGGGTTTGAAGGCATGTTTTCATTTCTGTCGTGACCTCCTCCAAAAGCTGCTGCAGATTTCCCCCAGAACAAAGAGCATCGGTGTTGTCATTTGATGGCTATATTCAGCGTCCTGGCAGAGGGTAGTTCTCTTAAAGGAGCTAATTATTTCAAGATTGCAGCTTTTAAAATGCTATCAGGGTGGTACATTTGGAAATGCCACAACCTCCCAGTTACATTTCACCCTTTGTGTTTGTTTTAATCTTCTGTTAATGTTTTTTTTTTATCTGTCCTCTTGCCTTTTTTATTTTTAAAACCCAAAATGTTATCTGCATTAAACTTATTTGTAAAACTGAAAAACAGTAAAAAAACAAAAAAAAAAACAAAAAATGTTTCAATACAGATTTTTAGCTCCTGTAATGTGCATTTTTACAGTTTTTAATAAAAACTGTTTAGTTTCTGTATCTACCAACAAAATATGAAGCCTCATTTCAACCTCTGGACATCGTGCTGAAGTGAAGTCCGTTAATTGAGACACACTGTGGTTTTTGTATAAAGGGATACACACACACACACACACACACACTGCCACCACCACCACCACCCTTCATAGATTGTTCATTAGGCAGCTGTAACAGGAAGTTGCATCGTTGTATCCTGCAGCCGATTGTACTGAGAGAAGAGAGGACATAATGATGATGATGATGATGATGATGATGATGATGATGACAGCCCACAGCTGGATAATGGCACTGTCTTTCTGTGATATGTAGGGTTGCAGCAGTGTACCGGTTTGAAGATATACTGTGATATGAAAATTTTGACGCTCATCACGCCGTGATTTATTTGCTTATTTATAATATTAAAAATAAAATTGCAGCTGGACGGAGACTGTCACCTTTATTTTAGTTATTTTCAGAAGGGAGAATTTGTACACATAAAAAATAGTTCCACGTTTTAATTATAGATATAAAACATTCGTCCAACCAAAAATAAACCTTTTATTTTTATTCCTTAAGGGTCATTCTGACTAATGATGATGATAATAATAATAATAATAATAATAATAATAATAATAATAATAATAATGATGTAATACTGTGACACCCTGATATTTTCTGAGACAGTTATCGTACGGTGAAAATCTCATATCATCGCAACCCTACTGACATGTTGGTTTGTTTGTTTGTTTGTTTGTTTGTTTGTTAATAGTTGTTGAAGGATTGGCTCTTCTTGACTTGGGAGTCTCACCGTACTCTGGAGATGTTTTCCATGAGGTGAGATACACACACACACATATACACCCACAAATACGAGGGGTGGGAATCACCAGAGGCCCTACGATACAATATTACCATGATATCTTAGTCTTAGTAAACAAGAATTTCCTTTGGATAAATTAAATTCTATGGAATTGAATTGAAACACAATAACATCTACATAAATGTGTGTTATTGACCCAACATCATGTTTGTGTTTGTGCTCTGATCCCAAACTTCCTTTTCTTTTCTCTTCAGACTCCTCTCATCATTTACCTCTTTCACTTTGTGGTGGACTATGCAGAGATAACATTTATGGTGCGTATGAAGATGTGTTTATAAACTAATCAAGACATGATGTTTTTGGCTGAATCTTTCCAACACCAATGTTTCTCTGTTGAGCTGTCATAAAACACTATTAAAAACTAATTTAGATGCAAAGGCTTCGGATTTGCTCTGGTTAGTATACAGGATGATTTTCTGTCATGTTAGCCAGCAGTCTGCATAATAATTTAAACTGCTTTCCCCGTGACAAAAAAAATTTCTGCCTCCAGTGATTTGAAAATAAAGTATATGGATTTTATGAGGATTTTTTGAGGTTCAGCTGCTCGTTCTGTCTTTCTGTCTGGTTAGTTGGCAGATGTGATCACTGCTGTGGCTCTCTACATGATAGTGAAGGACTACAACAAACAAGTGGTAAGACAACTGTGATGTTTCTTCAAAAATAAACGAAAAATAGATTTAGAAAAAATTCGATATCAAAGGGAAATTCCAGTCTTTTTCGACATTGAGATATTGCTTTTGTGGCTGTTTGTGTTGTGATAACTTTGCACTCACCACCTCTGTTATAGAGGTTCAGGGAAACACAAGATTGATATGGACATCGTATGATAACTGAGTTATGATCAATGAATGATATAATTTCTACAGATTAAACATGGATTCATTGTTAGTGTATTAAATTTACTGATACGCTGATATTCAGTGCAGTATGTGGTGTATTTGGGGTATTGTCCAGTGTTGTGACATGTTTGACAAGGTGTTGATGCTGTTTCAGTTCAGGAAGCAGAAATTTGCTCTGGAGGCAGACCGCTATCCCCTCGACTGTCTGGAGCTCATCAGAAGCCCAAAAGAGATGTACTACATCCCTCTGAAAGTTGCCATGTTGTAAGTATCAAACACCTCCCAGAGTGATTTAGGACGCATTCACACTGGCGCTATTTGGTCCGCTTTAAACGAACACTGGTCCACTTCCACGGATAGTTTGGTTAATTTGGAGTGGTGTGAACGCTCATTCGAACTCTGGTGTGGACCAAACAAGCAAACCCTGGTCCGCTTGAAAACTGGGGGTCTCGGTTCACTTGCAAGTGAACCCTGGTGCAGTTCGCTTACAGTTGGAAATGCAAACGGACTGTCCAGCGAACCAAAGAGAGGAAGTGACGTAGACTGCAATGCATTTTGGGTAGAAAAAAATACCAAAGCCAACAGCGCAAACCAGGAGAAGCACACAGTTGCTGGAGACAAAAACTTGAGCTCAGATTGGTTGTTAGTCGTTACAGACACGGACAGTGCAACAGGTACCAGAGTTCTGCAAAGACATTTTAGAAAAGTTCACATTATTTAGATATTTATATATATTTGATAATAGTGGTGATTGTAGCCTAAAAGGCCATGAAGGAAAAACCACAACCTTCTAAAAAGTTGCTTGTTGTATCTCACTGTTTCTTCTCTCACAGTTACCTGTTGAACCCGTTCACCATCCTGTCCTGCGTCGCCAAGTCAACCTGTGGCCTGAACAACGCCGTCATCGCCCTCTTCATCCTCGCTACAATAAAAGGTAACGTTTGATTCCAGCTATAAACATGATGTGATTCTTCAAAAGGCATTCCACAGTTTTGGATCCATAACTGACATTTCTGCCTGCGTGAGACACGACTAATTCATTCATTATTGTTAGCACAGTGTGTTATTTTATTCATAAGAAGGAGCACTTTGAAATTGCTTTGATTGTCAAACTTAAAATGGCTGCAACAATTAAATCATACAGTGACTGTTTAATTGCAGTTTTTCTGTGTCTGTGTTGCAGACAATGTTTTGCTGAGTGCCATATTTCTGTCCTTGGCCACATATCAGTCCATCTATCCTCTCACTCTGTGCGCTCCAGCGCTGCTCTATTTGATGCAGGTACGTTCTGTATGAATGGACATGTGCGTTCCCCTCCTCTTTTTCTGTTGCTCTTTTCTCCTTTACCTTATAATTTCCTGTATTTCATGCCTGGTTCACACTACATGATGTCAGCCTGATTATTGCCCGACGCAGCATTGCACGGTGTCAGCTTGGATTGTGAATGAAAATGAGTGTCGTGCACGATAATCCATCGTTTCATCTCGTGTAGTGTGTCATAGTAGACGTCAACCAAGGCCAAGTCTGGGATGCCTCATGATGTCCCAGCAGCAAGTCCAGTGTGTTTGATTTTCTTTTTGTCGTTCATGACTGCTCCCGTCACAGCCGTCACTTTGACCAGTAGAAACACAGAGTGACCTGCTGCCATGGAAACTGTAGGACAACAGCACCACAGCCTTTATTATATTTCGTGTAGGGATGTTACCACACAGAGTAAAAAGGAAAAATGATGGCGTGAAACAGCAGAGGCACAACTTGTCGAGCACCACCATTAGCATCCAGCTAACAAAGAATGTTATTTCTTCATAATGGTGGATTTAAAGTAATAAAATAAAAAACAGTGGCGGGGCTTTTACTGCAGAGGCTACCAGCCTCATTTGAAACAGACTACATTATAAACAGGTCTTTATGTATTATCTCTGTACTTTTATATTTTTACTTTTAGTCCACTCCCATTGCCTTCATTTCAAACTCAACATTTCCTGTATCTTTTTCAAATTAAAAGCCCCTTATCTTTTCGATTGGGAGAATCCCGTCATTTTCTAAACAGGCTTTTATTGTGAAACATTTGCAGGAACTTGTTGTGGAGGATTCAGTGGCTTGCATTGATTGCGTACGGTACTTCAGATGTAGCTCCTGACATCTGGGTGTGCTTCTTACGTTACTACAATCACATTTCGGCTGGCGCAGGAGCAGCCGTAGTGACTGAAATAATAGTAATAATAATAGAAATAGCACACAAATAACGATGACTAATCTGCCTTTCGTTCATGCCATTCCATGTTTCCGTGCCTTCTCATCCAGCATCGGTATATCCCACTGAACTTCCGGCGGTTCAGCTTCTGGTGGTTCATCGCTCAGTACGCCTTCATGTACCTGGGCAGCCTGTTCGTCATCATCTGCCTCTCCTTTTTCCTGCTCGGCTCGTGGGACTACCTGCCGTCTGTCTATGGCTTCATGTGAGTGGTGACCTAAATTACCTAGAAAGTAAAACTGCTTGTGTAATATATGACTAACCAGACCGGACAGAAACTGAGAGAGTTTTAAAAGTAAGACTGATAAGAAATTATTTTCGTAAAAGTTACTTTAGCTTTAAATGTGATCAGATTCTTTCCAGTTGTGGTCGTAGCATTGACCGTCTCTCTTCCCTCCAGTCTCTCAGTACCAGACCTGACCCCAAACATCGGCCTCTTCTGGTATTTCTTCGCTGAGATGTTTGAACACTTCCGCCTCTTCTTCCTCTGCGTCTTCCAGATCAACGTCTTCTTCTACACCATCCCGCTGTCCATCAAACTCAAGCAAGTCCTCTGCATCACTCGCACACCATCAAAGCTAATGCAACGCTGCTGTTTGTTCTTTTTATTTCCTTTCTGTTCTTTATTCTGTGCATGTCTGTGTTACAGGGAGCATCCGGTGTTTCTTATCTTCATGCAGTTAGCTGTGATCTCCATCTTTAAGTCTTACCCCACTGTGGGAGACATCGCTCTCTACATGGCCTTCCTTCCTGTCTGGAGTCACCTGCACAGATGTGAGTAAAGAAAACACAAAAAAATGTTGCATATTAATTGTCACAAGATTCGATCCAGGTCTCTTAATATGAGCGGTTACATGGACAATATTTCTTAAACCTGTCTGAAATCACTCTGATCATAGATTCCAACTTAGCTGTTTACAATAACGCTTAATCATCAAAGCATTTAGTCAATATATACTTTTTTTTGGACAAGTGCAGAGGGTTTCTGCTCACTGTAAAGCATCTAATCGTGTTGAGATATTTCAATTCATTCAATACATAAAGCAGGGAGAAGAAGTGGTTCCCCTGTTAGTACCATTCAAAAGTAAGAACGTCAGTGTAACCCAGTTTTTTTGAAGCTACAAATTACAGATGTCCCTAAACACCTCACACCTCTACCAATGTTTGTTAAACGTCTCATTTACAAGCTACCGCTACTGGTAGTGACAGCAAGGTGGTGCTGAGCTTGCATATTCTCAGTGTCAGCTTGCGTTTTCCCCAGGTACTCTGGCTTCCTCCCATAATCCAAACACATGCACGTCAGGTTAATTGGTGAGTCTAAATTGGCCAAGGGGTCAGTTGAGATGTTTCGGGCATCTGATCAGGATCCTCCTGGGGCGGCTCACATTAGAGTTGTTCTGGGCACGTCCAACTTGTGGGAGGCCCCGGGGCAGACCCAGAACACGCTGGAGGGATTATACAGTACAGGCCAAAAGGTTGGACACACCTTCTCATTCAATGCGTTTTCTTTATTTTCATGACTATTTACATTGTAGATTCTCACTGAAGGCATCAAAACTATGAATGAACACATGTGGAGTTATGTACTTAACAAAAAAAGGTGAAATAACTGAAAACATGTTTTATATTCTAGTTTCTTCAAAATAGCCACCCTTTGCTCTGATTACTGCTTTGCACACTCTTGGCATTCTCTCCATGAGCTTCAAGAGGTAGTCACCTGAAATGGTTTTCCAACAGTCTTGAAGGAGTTCCCAGAGGTGTTTAGCACTTGTTGGCCCCTTTGCCTTCACTCTGCGGTCCAGCTCACCCCAAACCATCTCGATTGGGTTCAGGTCCGGTGACTGTGGAGGCCAGGTCATCTGCCGCAGCACTCCATCACTCTCCTTCTTGGTCAAATAGCCCTTACACAGCCTGGAGGTGTGTTTGGGGTCATTGTCCTGTTGAAAAATAAATGATCGTCCAACTAAACGCAAACCGGATGGGATGGCATGTCGCTGCAGGATGCTGTGGTAGCCATGCTGGTTCAGTGTGCCTTCAATTTTGAATAAATCCCCAACAGTGTCACCAGCAAAACACCCCCACACCATCACACCTCCTCCTCCATGCTTCACAGTGGGAACCAGGCATGTGGAATCCATCCGTTCACCTTTTCTGCGTCTCACAAAGACACGGCGGTTGGAACCAAAGATCTCAAATTTGGACTCATCAGACCAAAGCACAGATTTCCACTGGTCTAATGTCCATTCCTTGTGTTTCTTGGCCCAAACAAATCTCTTCTGCTTGTTGCCTCTCCTTAGCAGTGGTTTCCTAGCAGCTATTTGACCATGAAGGCCTGATTGGCGCAGTCTCCTCTTAACAGTTGTTCTAGAGATGGGTCTGCTGCTAGAACTCTGTGTGGCATTCATCTGGTCTCTGATCTGAGCTGCTGTTAACTTGCGATTTCTGAGGCTGGTGACTCGGATGAACTTATCCTCAGAAGCAGAGGTGACTCTTGGTCTTCCTTTCCTGGGTCGGTCCTCATGTGTGCCAGTTTCGTTGTAGCGCTTGATGGTTTTTGCGACTCCACTTGGGGACACATTTAAAGTTTTTGCAATTTTCCGGACTGACTGACCTTCATTTCTTAAAGTAATGATGGCCACTCGTTTTTCTTTAGTTAGCTGATTGGTTCTTGCCATAATATGAATTTTAACAGTTGTCCAATAGGGCTGTCGGCTGTGTATTAACCTGACTTCTGCACAACACAACTGATGGTCCCAACCCCATTGATAAAGCAAGAAATTCCACTAATTAACCCTGATAAGGCACACCTGTGAAGTGGAAACCATTTCAGGTGACTACCTCTTGAAGCTCATGGAGAGAATGCCAAGAGTGTGCAAAGCAGTAATCAGAGCAAAGGGTGGCTATTTTGAAGAAACTAGAATATAAAACATGTTTTCAGTTATTTCACCTTTTTTTGTTAAGTACATAACTCCACATGTGTTCATTCATAGTTTTGATGCCTTCAGTGAGAATCTACAATGTAAATAGTCATGAAAATAAAGAAAACGCATTGAATGAGAAGGTGTGTCCAAACTTTTGGCCTGTACTGTATATCTCATCTGGCCTGGGAACGCCTTGGGATCCCCCAGGAGGAGCTGGAAAACATTGCTGAGGACAGGGGCATCTGGAATACTTTGTTCATCCCCCACGACCCGGCTTCAGATAAGCGTTTGAAAATGGATGGATAGATGAGTTTTAAGTAGTAGACCATTAAAATTTTGGCCTGCATTCGCCTGCATTTGTGGTTGTAGATGAAACAACATCGGTCTTACAACAAGCTCTTTACATACCATTTCCCAAAATACTGTTATTTTCTGACATTGCCAAAAAGCATGAGAGTAGTCTACATCCAAAGACCCGCACTCTCGCCAGCAGCTCTGGCAATTATGGAGATGCAAAACTAATCAGATTGTTCCATGAGAATTCATTCATTCACAAATTAGTGGTTGAATGGTGTATTTTCCACATATTATGCCAATCTTCGTCTGAAATTTGTACACTGACTTTGAGGTGTTTCACTCTGGAACAAAGTATTTGACCAACAGATTGACAACGTGTACTCGTCAAGCAATTGTTTTATTGAAATGAGATTTATTGTCATCTGGGAATTTTCTCGATTAACACCATGAAAATAAAAGGCAAAAAGTAATCATGCAATGAAATAAATAATCTCTCTCCTGGTTTCATGTCCTGTTCAGTCTTGAGGAACATCTTCCTGGTGTCCTGCGTCCTGCTCGCTTGTTCCGCTCTGTTCCCGGTTCTCTGGCACCTGTGGATCTACGCTGGCAGCGCCAACTCCAACTTTTACTACGCCATAACACTGCTGTTCAACGTAGCACAGGTAGGACGGTCTACAGAGTTAACCAAAGACTTATGTCTGATGTTGTTATTTAGTAATCATGTTGTATTTTCAGCCTGCTCTCTCATTTAAAACATTATTGATGATTTATTTATGTCTAATGATCAATGTCTTTATATTTATTCCCCATCAGATTCTGCTGGTGTCAGATTATTTCTACGCCTTCTTGAGAAGGGAACACCATCTCAGCTACGGACTGTATCTGAAGAGGAAAGACGGCTCAGAGGCAACACTAGTTCTTAAATAAAACACACACACTCATACACACATCGCTACACATACACATACGCTACCAGGCTGGCGGCCTCGACCAGGAATGGAGAAACTGCTGGAGGTCTCATGTATCCACAAAGGGAACAAACACAAACTGAGGAGGATAAAAGACCGTCAGAGCCACAGTTATCCTCCGAACACATGCAGGGAGTGTGTGTGTGTGTGTGTGTGTGTGTGTCTGGTACAACGTCATATGCAAAGTCACAACACTCAACATGTCAGACACATGCAGAGATGGGATATAGAAATCTTGTTCTTGCCATGCGAGACAAACAAACAACAACTTAACATCCTTTTTTCACTTTCTCCTCTGGAGCACTCTTATTTTGAAGCCTCACCCTTACCTGGAACCTGCGCCTGCAAGGGTGGCTTTTATTTTGAAGCCTACTTCCTCCTGACAGCCACACCTAGAAGAATTTTATTTTGACGCACTGTTTATCCCGCTGCTCCACCCTGGACATCTTTTACTGCGAAGCACCAGCTCTCACACAGATTTTTTTTCTTGAAGGAAGTCACTCTGCTCTGCTGGGGCTTTTATTTTGAAGCCTCTTTAAACATCAAAAGTTGGAAACTCCCTCTGATTTGATAATTTCTGATATCCATATTTTATTTGTGTTGTTTTATGTTTACCTGATTACATTTAAGGTAAAACTGGTTTGCTTTTTTGGGGGGAAACTATTTTCAAAAGTTTGTCTGGAAGCCTACAAATCTGTCTTTCTTTCTTTTTCCTCACTCTGTCTTACTTTCACTCCTTTTTATTACACAGTTGGCTCTTTAATGAACAAACTCCTGATTATCAGTGTTGCATCTCGCCTAAAGTGAAAACCAATGCTTACCTCATCATGGTACATAAAACTTAACTTCAGCCTCCTGAAAACAGAGATATTTATTTATAAATCACTCCGCCAACAAAAAGCTAGTCTCATAGAAACATTTGTGAATGTGTTTAAACAACTGAAGTGCTGAAGGAGGCTCAACAGTGTTTTGTGTTTGTGAAAATTACAATTTCATCATTTTAATCCCCATGAAAGTTTTCACAAAGGACACATTTCCTGTCACAAAGCAAAAGTGTGGGCTCATAATGTGCCACCTAACTAATCACTAAAGGCATAAAGGTTCTGTATGTAACTTCAATCATTTTAAATAGCCAGTGCATGAACAGGTTGTAAAGTCCCTTAAAAACGGAGACATTTCCCAACTTCCTCTGTTGCCTGTAACAACCTGTGAACAGCAGTGTTCAGTGTGAGAGAATCCAAAGGATGTGACGCGATGTACATGCTGAACCTTAACCAAGAAATCCCTTTCTGGCAAAGAACCCTCAAGATCAGTGGTCCCCAGCTGGTCCAGCCTCGGGGTCCAGATTTCCCCTTAGTCATTAGTTCAAGGTCCACACAGTTTAATACATTGAGCATCATACTTGCGTTTGGCCATGTCGTCAAACTAGTTTGCTGTCTCTGTCAAGGAGTTGTCCCTTAGTCACTTGCTCCACAGCAGAAAACAGCACTTCAAGGTAAAAGCTTTGTGCTGGAAATTCACTGTACTTAAAAATAAAGTGTGATTTTTACAAATGTAACACGCTTGCGAGTCACTTGTGGTCCATTCAGAATGGACTTGCGACCCCCCAGTTGGGAACCACTGCTAGAGACAAACTTCTCCCAACAGCGTGCAACATTAGCTAAAGTTAGCTTAAAAATGGTCCGCTAGCATCAACAAACAACTGTCACCCGCCACATATACTCCGTTTCTGTGATATAAATTTTGCAGCAGCAGCTCGGAGACAGACTTCACGGCTGAGGTTTGCGCTGACTGAAGGTCCATCTGCCGAGCTGCCGTCTGCTCTCCCCCCAGTGATGTTGGGAGCGTTCGTAAGGCCTTCGTCCAATTTGATGTCATTTGAAGTAACGGAGTGTTTTATTTCCACATGAATTAAAAAACGGTTAAATATTAATCACACATTCACTCTGTGCGGCGCTCTGCTGCTTGAGGAGTGTAGTGTACGAATAACAGATTGATACATTCCAACAGCGCTCCCAATTTATGAACGGTCCAGTTGGTGCCAGAGTGCGCTCTGAGCAGCGGGGTGCGCTAGCAAATTCTTGTCTCATTTTTGGACTGATGAACAGTAAATTCATTAAATTCAGTGTCCCTTTGTGTTAAAAAAAATATGACATGAAATATTGTGATTGTGTGGTTTAAGCTGGCTGATGCTAACTCATGCTAGCGTCCATGCTAACACAGAAGAATTGCTAGGTAGCTAAAGTATCAAAATACTGTATTCAGTGGACATTAGCTATTTCATCCGGACTCCTGGGGGTGGTTAGAAAATTAGTTTATCAGCTAATTTTAGGAAACAATCAATGCCAGGTCCATGCAGCGTAGTTAGGTTACAGCTCGCTGCGCGGCCAACAAGCTAACAAGATTAGAGAGCTAGCTGTAAAGCTACGCTGCGTGGTTTCCTTGATTAATGGAGTAGTTATATGATTTATATCGATTAATTGTTGCCGCTCTAATTGGGACAGGGCTCATGTTATTCTCATCTTTCAATCTGATTGTTTTTCCTTAATGTGGAAACAAGAAAACCACGACTGTAATCAAGAATGTGCTGCTTGTACAACAACTCTGCCTTTTAGAAGCTACTGATGAACATTTTCTTAGAAACCTTTCTTTAGGGATTTAAGTCACACCCTTAAAATAAGCCTTAAACCACCTCAGAGGTGTTGGGACACTGATCTAAAGCTCATTTTTATTTTAATGTTGTTCTCTGACGTCCACAGATTAATGTTTTTGTTTAATAATTGTGAAAATAATCATTTGATTAACAACAAATTTCCCATAGAAAAGACCCATAGAAATCATTTTCACATCATCGTCTAAATACAAGCATTAACTGTTTATTATTGTGAACTGTATTTTAATACAAAATGAAAATAAGAGCTCACTGTACAATTACATAGAAATGTTATCTGTGCAACACAAACACAAGTCTGTTCAGTTGTTTTTTAAACCACTCATCTGTCTGAGCAGAACTTCAGTGATGGCCATTTTGATACCAATGAGTGAAGTGATGATATTTATTTATTTTGCTGCACTAAAAACTTTGCAAAGAGATTTAAATTGTTTTCTTTGATTATTTTTATTTTAGATAAAGGCGGAGCTCTTCTGTTGTTTTTGATACTGTATATATTTGTGTTTTGTTTTGTTACAGATATTAAAAATAAAAGGTTTGAAAGGGGTGATGTTAAATTTTATGAATGAGTGAACATGTCATAAATAATGGTTATTAAACTTGAGGTGTTGATTTTGCTTCTGTTTGTTTTTGATTGTTAGAATGTGTTTGTGTGTGTGAGGCGCTGGCAATGCATCATAATTTTAGCTTTTTGTTACTTTAGTTTTCCATGCAGAAATTAAAATGTAAAGTCAGATGTGAGACCAGCAACATTTCATACTGTCTGTTCCCCCCACTGAGCTCTGAGTCTACAGCCATTTTCATCAAACAAGTGTCGGAGATTTAAATCAAGACAAAGAAAAAACTCAACCAATTCACTAATATGTATGGCAGTATGTGTTCCCTCCAGTCCTTTTCATGAACTGGTTTCTGCACTTGAAAAGAAAAAATTGTGATATAAATTATAAACTGTCAGTTTGTCAGCCAGCAATAAAAAAAATCACAAATGGCTCCAAAACAGAAAGATAAATCAAAACATTTCTAACTTTTATTTAACACACTGGTCCTAAGGAAGTATTCCTTACAGTACTTATCAAAAATGGGAGGATACTTGAGCCTGCTCTATACAATGGAAACTGTTTTTTGGTTTGATGTATAAAACAACTGTTGACTTATTTACAAGATATTTTCGATTAAAAATAATTTATAATTTTCTAGCATCTAGAAAAATTCTAAACATATGTGGTATTAGGGAATCAGATGAATGCTGGTTTTGTGGAACAGAATCTGAATCAACAGTCCATCTTTTTTGGTATTGTCACATTGTATCCGCATTTTGGGGTGAGGTTCAAAAACTATGCTCAAAAATGACTTTACACCTGGAGCTGGATCTCTTCTCTGTGATGTTGGGGGATGTTACAGCTGAGATACTGTACAGAGCTTGAGGAAGACACAGGATTTATTTTTCACTTTTAAACCCTAATTTTTATTCTCTTATTCATTTTATTTTTAGATATATTTTTTGTTTATATATAAATTATTGTAGAGATGTTATACAACCAGCGTGTTGTTTTTGCGATGTTTAATTACTATTTTTTTAACCAGAGAAAAAAGAAACAGGAGATGTGAAACATATTGGGACGTGGCCATCCGTTTAAAAGGCAGTGAAACTGATTTGTACGCGGCCCAAATATTCCCGGGAAAAAGCACTACGTCCTAAACTCCGCCCCTGCCTCCACCTCTCAGCAAAGGGTGAGTTTCTTTTACTGTACGGGCCGCACCGCTGTCACTCCCAGGCGGCACCTCCACACCGGCCGAACAACCTTCACTGGAGGTTTATTTGAAACCAAACGCTCTGTGCGTTGAGCTCCGCCCCTTTAAGAAGAGGCGACCAATAAAGAGGCGTGACGTCGGCGGCGTACTTGAATATTCATTAATTTTCGCGGGCTTTGAGTGTCACGTGGTCATTTCGCGCGAAAAGCGACTCCGGGCAGGAAGAAGAGGTTTCTCTACAAGCAGCAGACAGAGACAGACACGGAACAATGGCGGTGAGTTAAAACTATTAAAAAACAGAGTTAACGTCTCATTGTCGGGGTTTGCCTGCGTGTGCTGAAGGAGTGAAGTTAAATTAAACACATTTATGTTTGTAGCTCGAGTTTATGTTGTTTCTAAGTTTGACATTTTGACTTTACTCTTCATTACAACACTGACAGAGAGTTTAAGTTCGATCAGGAGCCTGATGTTACATTTAAATCTGCGCTAATCTGAGATATATTTGACAGTCAGTCGGTTTCTACACTTTTCTAAACATGAACGATCTTAATCTTTGTGTTATTGTCAGTTTTATTTGTCCTCTTGCTTTATAAAGCAGACTCGCCATGTGGCTGTTGAGCTTTGTGTTGCCTGATGAAGTACCTGGAAATAAAATGTCGAGTTAGATGCTTAATATTTATTAGAGTCAGCTCTAAAACTGGTGAAATATGAATTGTAAAGTGAGAAATAAGCATTTACAGGATCATGCACGCAGAATACTATTACAGCTTGCAACCTTTACAGTTAAATGTGTTTTATACAAAAAAACAGCCTCTAAATATTGAGAGCTTTACTGTTATATAGTTGGTGACTATTATTATAAATCTCAGTCTGTTATTGTTTTGCATTACTTTATGTTGTTGTCTTTGTGACTGGCTTTTCACCACATGGCTGCCAGTGCTATCATTGTCTCTTGCATCCTCACCACATATTATGACACATTAGATGTATTTGTGATCTATATTATCATGTTACCAACAGTAAAACAAGTCAGAGATCACACAGTTTGAACACAGTCACACTTGCCTCAAAGACAAAGTGCCTCTGTGCATTTGACTCTGACTGTCTTGTATGAAAAAGTGACTAGTATTTTTTTTTAATCTGGATCACATTTCCCAATTTTTGTGTCTGAGACTCATGAGAACAGTAGTTTTTGAAATTGGTCCAGTATTGACGGAGACCGCTGCAGCTGGCCGCCGCAAAACAGGCTACAGTGTCACCACTTGGGGCAATTGAGCACCATTGATTTATGTCCAATAAAATGTTTTGTTTTTGCCACTGACAGGCTCACATTGTCATCTTAAAGCCCCGTTTCCACCAAACACTTTCAGTAATCCTTAAGACATGGTACCTAGACCCTAGTGTTTCCACCACAAATGTTACTTTTAATAGTGCTCTTAAAATGTGGGCAGGGTTGTTGTCACTCACTGTATTTCCCGGCTCATCAGCGGTGACACAGATGGAAGTCTGCACCTCGTTTATCGTCCACAGAACGAGGCTGCACGCCGACATTTTCACAACAAAATAGAACAGGCTGCAGTGAGAGTCTCTCTCCATGGGATATTTAAAAATAGCAGCTTTGTGCATTTAGTCCTTCTCAGGCAAGCTCAGGGGTTTAGTGTTGCTGGAGCCCACAGGAACGATGCTCCACAATGCTTTTTTGTGAGGATTGAAATATATGTAGTCACAGAATTTTGTCAAAATTAATATATATATTTTATGTGCTTGACGATCCACTCATTACTAAAAGTGTATGTCATATAAAAATAAAAGGATTGGTCAAAGTTGTTGAAGTGAAATTTAAGGTGTGCTGATGGATTTACGTCATCAACTCATGCATTGAGTAACCTTACAAGTTGACGTTCCATCTTAAAAGTTGCCGGCAGTCGACCCAGTGAATGAAGTTATTTTTTCTCAGACTCCAGCTGCTGTGAGAGGCAGCAAAACATCCTTTCATTTTATAGTTACAGTTTACTAATTAAACTCTCCACAGTATGAACAGCTGGTAATACACTAGACATTAGTACTGCAAGTCAAGTCGATCGTGTCACGTTCTCATACGGGAATAGAAATAGTCTGAGTAATCTGTGTGTTGTTGACAGGATTCCTCCGAGTCATACCACATGGCCACCAGCCCCACCCGAGCATCCAGGAGGGGAGACCTGACCTCCAGCCCCGGACGAGACCTGCCCCCCTTCGAGGATGAGTCCGAGGGACTGCTGGGGGACACAACAGTGCACGGAGAGGAGGAGGAAGATGGGGACGGAGAGGAGCTGATCGGAGACGGGATGGAGAGGTGAGGATGGGGGTAGATTTGTTTTGATTTTCAAACACAACATTTTCTCTGTGTTGCACAGGTTTAAGGCTCAATGAAGATGACTTTTTTTTTTCATTTCTCTCTGTGTGCAGAGATTACCGAGCCATCCCGGCGCTGGATCGTTACGAGGCGGAGGGTTTGGACCTGGACGATGAGGATCTGTCGGAGCTGTCGCCTGGAGCTCGGGCTGCCGCTGAAGAGGCCATGAGGAGGAGGGACAGGGAGCAGGGCGTCAGTGGGCGGCTGAGGAGAGGGCTGCTCTACGGTGAGGAGAGAATGGATGCGTTGTTTGGTTGTAGTTTAGCCCACTGATTTGGTGTGTCATCAACAACTTCTCAGAGTCATATCTCAGTTGTATCTGGAAAAAAAAGGTTTAAAAAAATTGTGATGGGAGAGGGGATTGAGTGAATACCTTCTTTATTTTGCTGTTCTCCAGACAGTGAAGATGAGGACGAAGAGCGTCCTGCAGCTCGGCGAAGGCGACTGGCTGAGCGTGCAGCAGAGGGCATTGCAGATGGAGAGGAAGAGGAAATGATCGAGAGCATCGAGAACTTGGAGGACATGAAGGTTGTACAATTTTCTGCTTAGAGTAATAAAAATACAGATTAGATGACGTGCTGTAGTTTTCCAGGTCGGACTGTTACTCTCCGGCTCTGGTTTGAGGGTCTGACGTTATTTTTCCCGTCTGCAGGGCCACACTGTGAGGGAGTGGGTGTCCATGGCGGCTCCCAGGTTGGAGATCTACAACCGCTTCAAGAACTTCCTGCGGACTCACGTGGATGAAAACGGCCACAACGTCTTCAAGGAAAAGATCAGCGACATGTGCAAAGGTAGCTTAACGGTTTTATAAAACGTGTGCACATCCATGCTGATTATTCTGTGATGTTGAATGAATGAATGAACTTGAATCTTCTCCTGTCGTTCCAGAGAATAAGGAGAGTCTGGTCGTGAACTATGAGGACCTCGCAGCCAGAGAGCACGTCTTGGCCTACTTCCTGCCAGAGGCTCCAACTGAGATGTTGAAGGTGAGTGTAGTGCTCATGTTTTTAATCGTAATATACTGTAATTGACACTGCCCCTAAATAAGAGGAGGTCATTTTTAAAAATCATGTTTTTCTGAGACCTGATCTGTCTTTGGAAATTTGATTTCCTTGTGTGTTCTTGATGCTTTCTTGACCTCTGTGTGATGTCATGTTTACTCCTCTTTGGTTCGTTGGTGAAAAGTCAGTGTGAACATCAAACAGTCCAGAATGAAAGAACAACAATAGAACTTTTACATTTTCTTCAGTGTGAACCAGGTGAATTGAACAGCAGGTGCAACCTAAATCAAACATTTTGTCCACAAAAACAAACCTGTTTGTGTTTTTTTGTTTTTTTCTTTGTCAGGTCTTTGATGAAGCAGCTAAAGAGGTGGTGCTGGCCATGTACCCGAAATACGACCGCATTGCCCATGAGATCCACGTCCGCATCAGCAACCTGCCGTTAGTGGAGGAGATCCGCTCGCTCAGG